ATTTAATACATCATTGCTCAATGATGAACATTTTTTAAAATATTTTAGAGGAATGGACTTCTAATCGCTATTTCAATCTTTCTATCTTTCTAATTACTTCTCTCTCTGTTTTTCTCTCTGTCTATTTTCTCTTCACTTAAAAACGTCACTGATGAAGAATAAATAAATAAACTAAATAAACTCAATGCAATGCACACTATTGTGATTCGTTTCTCATCCAAGTAATCTCCACTTTGGCATGCTTCTCCTCCTGCATACTTTGTCCTAGAGCTGCCATTGTAATTTATATCTGTAAAGCTCCTGTGCTAAATGATGGCTATGACCTTTGGTGCCTGTACAAATTATATTTTTGGAAATATTAATGTTTAATCATTTATAATGGGAGTCAATGGAGCCTTATTGCTCCAATACTGCCCCTGCTGTATCTACTCAGTACTGCACCATAGTTTAATAATATTTAATCTCAATAGTTCAGTGTTTACAATACTAATATGAGTGTATTTTGATGTTTTACTATAAAACTGTCCTAATATTGCTTTATTGCTGTAATATTTTTCAATTTAGTGACAACCATTACATTGGCAATGTGGCCACTTTCTGCACACATACAAACCAAACCCTGGCTTCATTCTCTACCACAGCTCTAATGGTCGATCTTAAAATATCTCCAAACTGCCGACATGTTACTTCTTCTTCTACCGTCATCGTTCTTCTGTTATTCGGGGGTGCGGTCGGAAATAACTTGTCAGTGCATTAGCGCCACCKCCTGGTATGGATTGTTGTTTACCCTTTGTGCTGCAGCGCAGCACAGGAGGAACAAAAAAGGGGACAAAAGCGGTATCAGTTAAGAGTATCAGCCGGCTTTTACGAGTACGAGTACTTGATGCTGGTATCGGACCCGATACCGATACTGATCAGTAAAGCAGTGGGTGAAGCTGCCTCAACCTGACTGATGAGGTGTAAACGATGACCTGCAGCAAAGTTCAGCTGAAGACTTCTGTTATGCGTCAGTTTCTTTTTACTYGTTTGCTCATGCATTATTGAAATTCTCCATTCTTTCAACAGTTTTAATTCTAAACATTCACCTTGAAGCTGTTTTTTACCCTCAAATTGTAATTTTTGTTAAATATTTTATATTTTTTCACTGTCATGATTCAGTGTTGCCACAGCTTGTTTGCAGAACTACTGCATTTCAGTGATTTTTCTGCAGTTTTTGGTTTTATACATGCTTTTATGAAGTGATAATTAAAGTTTGTGGATATGAACAGGTTTACAGAATGTGATGCAGATTATTGGATATTAGGGGTGCGCTAAAACAAATCGATTCACATAAGATTCACAATTCTCATTTAACAATTC